ACTTTGACAGTATATGCACTACGTTAGACAATAGGGTTGATCACTCCCTGTCCAATGAACATCATTCACCACAACGTTGCGACCAGCGCATCGCTCATGATGAAGTACATATTCATCTTCATATTTGTCCACATTGTAGCTATCCTCTGTGATGATTATAAGAGAAATACTTGTTTATGATAATTTAATCCACGGATTTTATAAAATCATACTGATATATAATTAAATCGCAAAATGTGAGAATCTCCCTTAATGCATATAATCATTTTTTTTTTTGTCATCATCATTAACAAAAGTTAAATACACTGTGCATATAACAATAATCATTTGTTCAAACACCTATGACCGACAATCATAATATTGATAAACCAAATATATTTATAATTATAACAATTCACACATTTAATACTTAATACACATTATGCAATATGTTATTAACATGCAATAACATTGTAAATCAATTAAAGTACAGCACGCCAATAATAATGATCATGGTTAACACACAATAAAATGTTCATTATTATATATCAAAGTACATGGTGATTAAAAAAAAATCATAATATTCATCAGGATTTAAGTGTAATATTATTTTCGTGCATCTCGCACACTCTCAATAATAATAATAATGATATATATATCAGTGTCTGAAATCCTTTAAGTAGCAATAAGAATGAATCATAAAGTCATTAATATTTTGTGATCGTACACACACTTCTTATACGAAAAGTTCACTCGCAAAGATTAATGCGTTATGTTAATTATAGACACGTGTAGCAAGTCAAGTCGAATTCAGATTGAATTAAAATCAATCTACATTATGATTATATGTTTCGAACTGAATATAGAAAAGTGCACAAGCATGATTAATGCGCAAAAATGTACAATATTCGTTCTTGAATAATTTTCTGGGTTTAAAAACTGTGAAAAGTGACAATGGGATAATTCGTTCCAAAATAACGTTTTTGTTTATTATGGTGTTTATAATTATGCAACCATGTCAATGTTTAGAGTAGTCTGCAGGTATAAAAACTTGAATGAATTGTCAAAATGAGAATAATTATTACTTCACTTTGTAAAATGAATGAATCTGTGGCTCTAAGTTCCTTCGGCTTATTAATTGATTTTGTTGCGAAATGTTATAATCACTACGGTATAGTAAGCACTATATTGTTTACGTGTACTTGTTTTTTTTAGTAAAGTCACCACTAATGCCAATTGCCTGTCCTTGATATACAGACCAAATTTCATTACGAGCAATACGCTCTATGTTTCGAATAAATTTAAACTAGTATTTGAGATTAATCATCTGTAGAAAGTATTTCGTTTGCTAGAATAGCATCTGCCATACAAGTACAAATTTCGCCTGTCTCTCTCTGCTGTTTGAGTCAATTTCATATGTTCAAATAATCACTAACATTATTGACAAGAACATGAGAAAAAAATTGTCAAATTAAGCTAAAGAACAGTTGATTCCGTACTTAAGGGTTTATTAAATAAATCATTGCGTTTCATGTTGAAAATAGCCGTTGGTGAATGGAAATACTGCAACGAACCAAAATTAATGTGATGTTGCTGTGCAATCTTAGTGTTGTTTTGACAACTTGCCACTTGGGTGGAAAAAAAATCATCTTAGTTCTAACTGCAATAGCAAAAGATTTGATTGACACATTAATGACAACTACTTAAAGAGGTCGTTGTTCTAGGGCATTCCGGGGTAATGTCAGTGACTGACTTGTCAAAACATCTCGTCTGTATTTTATCAGGTTACTATATGCCTTCCATTATGATGTGTCGTGAACCTTGTGATAACTTGTATTACATCGTTTGGATGTAACGTTTACTCATATAAATAAGATCAATGTTCTTTGTTAAATAGTTCTTTAGAAACAAAACTGTCTACACTCAACACCGCTGAGCGTGCTGATGCTGCCACAACATTACAGTAAAAATTCATAGAATCATCATTTCAAAAGGTCAATGCTCATGGCTTTTCCAGTGTTTACTGCATTAACTTGGCTTTTTTTTAGAAAAGGATAGAAAATAAGATAGAGTAGACAGAAAAATAGTAAACCGGTTTACATTTAAGGTTCAGTTAAGCTGTCTCACCGTTGTCCAAATTATACATTTGACCTATGTGTACTTTTTTACAATGTGTAAGTGTACTATCTTTTTATTTACCAGTGTATCGATTATCTAACTCGTCTCGAAGAGATAATAATATCATTATGTTTCCTCTTTAGTTTCTACGTTTTCTTGGTCTTCCTTGCAATGTCTTATTGATATGATAATCTAGTACCACTGGACTACTGTACTCACTCATGCTTTCTTCGATTATACCGTGTTGTAACATTTCGTCTACTTGTTTGACAATTTCATCTTTCAGCTTCGGTGACGTACGATAAAATGTTTGTTTCACAGGGATATCATTAATTGTGTGAATTCTAATGTATGTTTATACATATTTGCTGAACCTAACTCTGATAGATTGGTAGCAAAAACTTCACGATTACGTCCTAACAATATTTTCAACTGTTGTTTCTGATCTTCACTCATGTCTGAAACGGCAAAGTTTATATTTAATTCATCTGCATTCCGCAATGCTTCTTGATCTGATAACCTATCACCTTTTTGTGCTGTATCTCCTTCTGACATTTCATTTAAAGTACTGACACTTGCCAGACTCACTGAACTCGCAACTACTAATATTGTTCTTTTAGGAATGAAAATACTTTCATCGCTAGGGTTCATTATTCTGTAAGCGGATTTGTTTTTATCAATTGAAACCAAACATTTTGCTCCGATAAGTTTTTTCTTGGACTCAAGCTTTCGTACTGGCTCTAGTAAAGCTACTGAAACAGAGGAAGAATGTGATATATTCACTCGTTTTAAGCATTCACATCTGGAATAAATTCTGATTTAAAGTTACGCACTAAACCTAATACGGGTGGACTATACAAAGGTACGAGCAAATTATAATCAGGCAATGCCATGCTATCAGACGATAAATCAATTTTTATATTGTGTTTTCTTAAGAAATCTGTGCCTAATATCAAACCTCTTGGCAATTGACTTAATACGTGGACTTTATGTTTTATGATCACATTACCAAAACAAAGTGGTAACTCTACTTTTCCTAGAACTTTAATCACAGATCCATCTATAACTGAAACTTCTTTTAATGACGGTTTTTCGTATACATTTCGATCTTTCTTTCCTAATTTTGATAAAAGAGATTCGGATATACAAGATATGACGGCACCGGTGTCAACCAAAGCATTGACATGATGTTTGTCGATTTGAATTGATATTAGATTATTAGCTTGGTAATGGGAAATAATAGAAATTGGCACTTTTCTATCTTCAATCTTGTTATAAAACCGTTTCTTTTTCTTAGCCGTTTGTTTACACGTACAGAATGACATACTTTTGCTATGTGTCATATTTTACCACAACAATTACAGTTAAAATTGCGAGCAAAACAATTAGGTCTAAGATGCGTGTACTCACCACATCCCTGACACATCGGCCATGCTCTTATCGGATTTCGTTGTTGAGGATAGTTCGTATGTCTAGCTGATGATAATGTGTACTCTGAGCGTCGCAGATGCCTGTTTCGCTGGGGCATAATTCTGGCGTTGGGAGTGATTTTTTCTGGATACTCTATAGGGCTCCCTCTTGGGGTTTCAAAGTTTGTTTCATTTCTGGTATCACATGGATCTTGCAATAGATAGATTGCAGACTGTGCACTGACGGCGTCATTAATTGAACTTTGAAGAGTGTCTATTTTCTCTGTTATCATTTTTATGTCATTTCGTTGACCTCTTCTCGTCGGCTGAACTGCGTTTTCTGCAATGCGCGCGTGGTGCATAAGAGAATCAAATTCTGTGGGCTCCCTCTGCAATACAAATGGACGGATTTCGGGGAGTAACCCATTTATTACCACTGTAAATGCCGTTCCCTCATCTAAACACGCACGTTTGGCGTCGTGACGCATCGACTCGATGTACCTCTGTACTGGTTCTTCTGTCAACTGTTGACGTCTGAAAAAAGCTGAGGCTTTCTCCCAAGTTTCTCCGGATTTCAGTTCATATCGCTGTCGGAACTCGCGGACTAGCGATTTCCAGTCTTTCTGTATTTCCACTGTTAAACACTCGAACCAGTTTAACACTGTTTGATTCAGTAAGAGAGGAAATAAGGCGGTGATTTGTTCATCTTCTAGTTTTTTTATATTGCGTATAGTTTTCAAATTGTTTTAACCACCTTTCTATATCTTTGTTTGCGTTACCACTTTTCTGGCGCTAAAGTCAAATCTGAGGACATTTTCGTCTTTTTTCAGTTATTAATTGTTGCTAGGGTAATGGCTTTTGGCGATTTTCAATACCCAGCATACTCAGTTTTCGCTGCACTGGGGCACTGACGATGTTTGCCTCTGGGTGGATGGTGTGAACCCTTCGGTGTCTACGCTCCTGCCGCCGTCATCACCATAACTGTATCGCCGTTCCACTTGCCTCGGTAGAGCGGGGATCGATTTTTCCTCCACCACTTCTTATATTGAGGAATGACGACAGCAGTTTGGAGCTTTCGAACGTTGATTCACCGACTCCCCTTCATACAACTTCACAAATATTTATATTCAATTTCTCCTTACTGATCACGCATTTACTTGTTTTCTTTTCCATTGTCTTTGAGTGATTACAAAATATTTTCCATTCTCATGTTGCAAGTCACTATGCAACATTTCCTTATTAGGTAATCCATTAGAGACTTGTTTTCAATTAAAGATATCTAAAATATTATTTGGATTACTCATGCTTGGATCTTATCCAAAACTCAGTTATCATGTGATAAATAGATGATCAAAATTAAAATATGTTATGAAACTAACCAATCACATTAACTGTTATTGACTTTGACCTTTTCCATCTTTTTCTGACACTAAAAACATGTTCTACACTTGTTGACTCTTGGAGAAACTTAACTTACACTCAGTACCTCTCTGTCTTTATACTCATTTGATTCCGCTTTAATTGTTTTCTGTAATTAGTGAAAGTGTAAGTAATTTGCTTTACAACAATTTGTCCGCTTTGCTGCCTTGAATAGGCCCCTATAAACCTGAAGATGTCTGTATATTATCCAGCTTTGCTGAGTAGTTCGTACCCTTTAGTTTTCATACAATGGTTACAATGCACGTTTAGTAAAATACGCACCATGCTATATTATGAAATAATTAACTACTTAAAAATATTTTCAGTATTTGTGAGATGCTGATCTGATATACCGGGTAGGCATATTTGGTCTGTTTGGTCTATTGCGTGTAGTTAGGTCGATTCCAGTATGCACTCATATATCCCGTTTTTTTTTTTTTTTTTTTTTTTTTTTTTTTTTTTTTTTGCATAAAGTCCACTTTGTAAGAATAGTCTTGTTAACCAAACGTCCCTAGAGTTCCCTAGCTATAATTCCTCCACTTCGATTGTCCCAATGCCATTACTTTCCCCCTGCAAGGTCATTCCCTGTTTTGCGGGACTAATCTGACGATGCTGAAGCATCCGCAGCTGCAGGGAATACATGACGACGTAGGTAAAACTTTTTATGGGGTGGATTAAATCGCTGATCATGTCTTGTGCACTAATATCATAGTTTTGTTCGTGAATAATGCCAAAGTGTACCATTATTGTCATTCTAACGACGAGAAACGGACCATCCTGGAGAAGGAGATTACAGAATATATAAGTTCTTGCTCGGGGAACGTCCATACGTTCGCACGTGCATTCTGGTGGCACGGGGATGAACTTGAGCATAGACACAAAGGAAAGGGCAAATAGCACATACACCCAATTAGATTGGAACACGAGGGGGTCATGTGCCAGAACAAACAGTTCTACGATGTCATACGCAGTGAAAAGGTCGTTTCCCATCGCTGTGATGACGTCAAAATTGAATTCCCGTTCTCTCAGTCTTGCCATCCACTCTGTCACCACCAGGTTGAATACGACGATTTGTATTGTGATGGCGGTTTTTGTGTCTAGTTCAATGGGCGTCTCTACCTGTAGAAACGATTTAAATGTGATATAAATTAATTATTAGGTTACCCATAGATGCATACTGCCTTATCTTATTCTATCCGTTTATTTGTTTATCATATAAGGAAACAAGTAAGCAGGTTTGTATTTATCTTTTAAAAGTATGGGAAACATTAAAACAGAATTCTGAAAAAAACCTGCGTTAAGTTCGAGATACACCCACAATTTGCTTTCCCAGTTCTCATTAGTTACCCATTTTATTCCCCAAAATTGCGGTGTTATAACTGTACACATTCTCGTCATCGCAAAACTTGGTAAAACATGTAGCAGTGTATGATAGTCTTTACCTTGACCTTGGTCCCAATAAGGTTGACAACTAGGCAAGGCAAAGCACAGACTAACAGATAGATCACGATTGAAGGCCGCCTGAAAGAACGTAAAACCCATGACTATGTACATGTATATTATTCATTTATATGGCTTGGTAGAACATATTTAGTGATTTATTAAAAAAAAAACTTTCATCCCGTAATCCGTGTCTCTTTGAGAAATTTAATGAGTAAACAGTCGTGAGTGGACCAATGCTATATACCGCCACGAGTTTCTGGATTAAATTTTGTTTATAACACTGGACCTCTAATCTGGACAATTTGGGTGGGCGGCGTTAATGATTACATAAATGATTACATGAAGCTATTCGGTTGTTATCTGTATTTTCGCGTGCTGTTGTATCTACATTACACGGAAACAACACACACACACACCACAGGTACATTTTCAGGCCCGTAACAAGCAATTTTAAAGGGGAGGGGAGTTCCGAAAAAAAAAAAAAAAAAAAAAAAACGCGGACCTTTTTACCCTCTAAAATGAGCCACAAAGAGGTAAGACAGAAAATTTTGACTCAGAGCGGGCCTTTTCTCATCAAAATAGCCCCACCGCTTCCCATCTTCGGGTCTGTATCAGTTGAAATTTCTCTGTCTCTTATAAAATTGGAGTAGGCAAATCAATATTTTGGAGCTCGAATACACCCATCAGTCTTGTTATCAAGGCCCTCTGATAAGATATAGATATAGTTCGTAAGTAAAAAAAAATTAGTTCCATAATAAATGATTTATAATTTTTACCAATAGCTATCAGCTTTATTACGCGAAAACATTGTTCATATTGTCTGCATATTTATACACGGCATAGACTGTAGAGTAGTGCATCACGAGAGGTCTATGAGATTGGCGCTGTTTATGCGTGTACATCATGTGCTGGCACCCTGAGGATCATTGCGCCATTTTAAACTCGCAATGTAAGCTATATTTATGGTGTTTTGTTCTTGAACATAGGCAGTGGGAAAAGCTTACTGTCTGGGCATGCTTTCGAATGTGTAGGGCCTTGCTATTGCGTTTTTTCATAGTTAGAAATGGGTGCAAAACTGGTGGGCTACATAGGTCGACCCTAAATTTTATTACTTTTGACAATTTAATTTTATTAATCAAGGCGTATTTCATTAGATTGCAAAATTACTTGTTTGCAAATGCAATTTTACGCCAGAGAGAGAAGACTGGGTTTTTCATCGACAGTTTCACAGATATCGCCTGACCCTAAGATCTAATATACCAAAGATTCGACACTCGGCAATTCTTCAAAGGGTAATCCGTTTAACTGTGGAAAGACGTTCGTACGGCGGAAGTAGTCGCGTTGTGTTTGTGCGGAGGTCGAGCTCTGTTGCATATGGGCGATTTCAAGGTCGGTAAAATACCGCTTTCAGTCTTGTAGTTTCTCTGAAAATGTATGTGCAGAAGGGAAAACTAACAGGGTTCACTTGTGTGTAAAATTTGCAATATTTTGGAGCAGATGTCATCGTGAAAAATTGCCTTCAATCCGTTGTTGCATTCTAATTAGCAATATGGGGACGAACAAGCGAGTCTGAATGCCTTGTTACCTAAGGTCTAACACGGGTAATTTGATTTTTTATACGTTGAATTTTATATTATTGATGACTGAATAACACGTTGGTTTTATTGGTTGATAATTTAATTTAAAACACCTTCGTTTTCTTTGAAAATTTAAACAATAATTCGGCAATAAAGCAAGATGGCGGTGCAGATCATAATCGCCGGGGTTCAAATGCAAAGCCGAACATGAAAGTGGATCTGTACAATGCGTTGACAGTTTTACTATGTCCATCTAAACAAGTAGTGGACGGCCCTAGGGATAAACTTAGTTAAGATTTAGCTTGTTTTATGAGAAATATTTATCGGTAAAGATGACGATAAAGCAAGATGGCGGCGACTATCGTTATCGAGGGTCTTCAAAAGCAAAGCCGAACACGAAAGTGGACCTGTACTTTGCGTTGTTAGTTAAACTGTGTCCATCTAAACAAGTAGTGGAAGGTCTTAGGGATAAATTTAGTTAAAATTTAGCTTGTTTTATGAGAAATATTTATCGGTAAAGATGACGATAATGCAAGTTGGCGGCGACTATCGTTATCGAGGGGCTTCAAAAGCAAAGCCGAACACAAAAGTGGACCTGTACTTTGCGTTGACAGTTAAACTGTGTCCATCTAAACAAGTAGTGGAAGGCCTTAGAGATAAACTTAGATAAAATGAAAGTAGTTTCTTAGAAATATTCATTGGTAAAAATGACAATAAAACAAGATGGCGGCGACTATCGTTATCAATGGGCTACAAACGATGGTATTTTTATCCGTGATTTATACCTAAGTAAAACAATGCAGTAAAATGTGTCTCACATCCTTATAATTATTATTTTGTTTTATTTTCAGATGCCATTAAAGTGGGTAAAGGCTCACAGGAGAAAAAAAAAATAGAAAAATATGGCAGCAAAAATCGGTAAGCTCTCTGGTCTATAACTAGAACTTAAGTTTATGGAGTTGAAAGTAAAATGTTTTATATACATGGGCACTATTATTCTGTCCCTTGTATGTCATGCTCATTTAAATATTTCCACTGCACCAACAACATTATTACCAGTATAGAATACAAAGGCTACATGTAGGTGCTCTCACCACAGTGGACTTACACAAATGACAAATAATAAGAGACTAGCAGATGTCAGAACCTTTTTAACAGTAAAATATTATTTTATTATCTCAGATGAATGTATAATAATACAAGTGTTGCAGATGATTTAGTTGCACCACTGTCAAGTTTGTTAAGTGATTGTCAACAATCAGAAAGACACACTGATGTATTAAATTAGCAAATGATTCACAACAAAATGGTAAGGTGCGCCCGAAATTAAATGTTTAATTTTTGCTTGATAGTTTTACAAGTGCACAAAGAGCTAGGTCAGTGTTGTCTGCACAGCGGACTTTAACATAACATGAGCAATTAACACATGTCAGCATCTTTTTAACTGTGTGATATTATTTTTTCAGATATATGTTGCAATGGAAGTGATTCTGATGACGACGTACCTCTGTCAAGTTAACTGGGTGCTACTCAAGAACCTGACAGGCACATTGATATTTCAGCAAATGGACCACCTTGAAACTAGCCATATGTTGTTCTTCATGAAAAACAAACATATCACTATAAATTGTCTCCCTTCTGTAAACTCTGAAGTTTAGTGTCCTGTCAAGTCTGGGTTGGAACTGGTCAGTAGTGCTCTTAGCAATAGATAAATATTATCACCAAGTGCATAATTTTTATTGAATGAGATATTAATGTTGAAACAAGTCAAAATAGGGGGAAAATGCTATAATTCTTTGTCATGTGAAACTAGTACTCCTAAATAAATTACCTATCTGTTGTGATTGTGTCACAGTCAGTGGTATCTATAGGTGTTAACATTTTTATTTGCATTTCAATTTCTGTGCCTTATTAAATCTATAATAAAATGCTTATGAACAGAACATGACTTGAATTATGTTTGGGGCACACACATTGGTAGGCCTGTCTGGAATGCCTCCCACTTCACTGCCACCTCGCCCAGCATGTTAGGCATTCCATCAAAAGAAAGACTGATGTTTCAAAACTGATTTTGCAGAGTTTAAAAATATGTGCATGATTATGAAGTCGCAAGGAAACTATATTGCATGTGTTCTTTATAAATATGAAATAAAAACGAGTTAACTTTTATTAGATTGTCAATATAAAGATATGTCTTACCTTTCACTATTATTATGAAGTAAGTACCCAAATAAGTGTTTGTGAAAGTGAAATTAAAAACTACTTTTTCTTTAAGGATTTTTTCAGTCATTTTTGTTTCACTGATTTGCTATGAGTATTCTGGTAAATTTCAATCAAGTATGCTCTAAAAGGACCGCTGATAGTGACAAAGTTTTACAAACATGCATAATAGATCAAGTTTCTGTTTTGGTGTAGCTTCACCAGTCAGTTTCTCCCAGTAGGTTAGCATGGCCTTATTGTCCAAAACAGCAACGAATATCACTATCAGTTACGTTGATAATCTCGTCACGTTTCCGGCTATATCTCCACGTTGAGTCAATTTCTATAAAATGGCAGCTGTTGTTACAGGTAGTGCGCTATTGGGTATTGCCTCTTCTGAATATTAAGTATTAAGACAACTACGAAATATAAACAAACTACATCTTTAGCACTTTTTAATAAAAAAAACCTCCATGTGTGCCAGTGCTAATCCAATATGGCGGATCTACTTGACGACGATGTGGCGTCCTCGAGAATGCACGAGAAATCACGCTATTCGCTAAACAAAGGTTTGGTACAATGGGGATTAAAAATAACCCGGCTATCAAAACAACTTATGGGGAACAATAGAGCAATGTTTTCCCGTACGAACGTGTGGTCAAAAGGAAAATGCCGCTGTCCAATCTTTCCGTTTATTAGATCTTAGCCGTTTATTAGATCTTAGCCTGACCCCAACACTAACCCAGCTAACTGTAATATTATGCAGGAGCCCTTTGCACACTAGTTTCTCCCAGGGTAACACACACACACACACACACACACTGAGAGAGAGAGAGAGAGAGAGAGAGAGAGAGAAGAAGAAGATGAAGGGAGTGAAAAGAAGAAGAAGAATAGTAAGAAAACAAAATAACCACGCGACGATATAACATTGTAATCTGCCTTACCATCCTCGGTCTACTCTTGCGGCGTGGAAGAAAGCAAATTTGAAGGTCAGCCATTTTATTGGAAAGTATATCACAGCACTTCCCAGAACGAGAATGGCGACCGATATTCCCCAGTATTGAATATGTTGATGTGGCAAAGACGGAATGTAGCTTGGGTAACCTGCTAACTCTCCGTATCTCCAAATTGTCAAAACAATAGGTAATACTATAGCAATAAAACTAATGAACTCCGTCAACAGAAGTCTCTTCTTCAGGCGCGGGGATCTGCCTTGTCGCTGTTCCTTTTTTACGCCATCTTCGTCGTTGCACTGGCATAGAATCGTCTGGCTGTTTGCGGTCTTCTCGTCTGCTGCTTCCGATCCCTTTTCCATATCCAAACCTTGGTCTTCCTCATCAAATGTCCCGTACTTCGTAGCCTCGTCACGCAGCTGTTGTTACAGGTAGTGCGCTATTGGGTATTGCCTCTTCTGAATATTAAGTATTAAGACAACTACGAAATATAAACAAACTACATCTTTAGCACTTTTTAATAAAAAAACCTCCATGTGTGCCAGTGCTAATCCAATATGGCGGATCTACTTGACGACGATGTGGCTTCCTCGAGAATGCACGAGAAATCACGCTATTCGCTAAACAAAGGTTTGGTACAATGGGGATTAAAAATAACCCGGCTATCAAAACAACTTAAGGGGAACAATAGAGCAATGTTTTCCCGTACAAACGTGTGGTCAAAAGGAAAATGCCGCTGTCCAATCTTTCCGTTTATTAGATCTTAGCCGTTTATTAGATCTTAGCCTGACCCCAACACTAACCCAGCTAACTGTAATATTATGCAGGAGCCCTTTGCACACTAGTTTCTCCCAGGGTAACACACACACACACACACACACACTGAGAGAGAGAGAGAGANGTTAGTCTAATGCTTGATACACATTTTACTTTCATCCTAATCCAATGTTTTTTTTTCATGCGTTTATTCACTCAAAGAAAAAAAAAGAAAATATACATTTATAATGAAATATTTAAGCAGATAATCAAAGATTGAATGCATGTAATACAATGCTGATGATAATTACGGTAATTAAATACTAATAGGTAAATAAAAAGATCATAAATATATAGATTTACTCTCAGTCACTCATCCATCCATACATACAATGCGTATACATGTACATGCTTGTTGTGAGCTACATATCGGCAACTATAACATATATAATGAAATATTTAGACAGAAAATCAAAGATTAAATGCATATAATACTGATAATAATTATGGTAATTAAATACTGATAAATAAATAGGAACATAAATATATAGACTTACTTTCACTCACTCATCCATACATACATACATACTACACGTATACATGCTTGTTGTGAACTACATAACGGCAACTATAGCGTACTAGAGGTGAAAATTTTAACACGTTATGGTAGGAATGCGTTTCCATTTTGTATTAAACCTATCTTCTTTTCCTGTCTTTATAGCAGTGTATTTTTCTATTTTCTTCTTCTGACTAAGAAAATGTAGAAACAGTTCAAAATCATAGACTGATGGATTTTCTGAATTTTTGTTTATGAATTGTTTAGCCACAATAATACAGAAATTTAAAGCTTTTACGCGCTGGTCGCTTGACAGACACCCGTACATTATAGTTTTTTCATTTTTTCTGAAGTGTATGGTATTATTCGGAATGTTCCACCAGTTTTCAAATGCAATCCAAAAATTTCTTGCACGTACACATTCTACAAAACGATGTATTATTGTTTCTAATCCAATGTTATGCAGAATAAGAATTTGATGTTGGCTATGCAGTTACAGTAAGCATAATACATTAGTTCATCAGAATTGACAGTATCCTATTTCCTGCTTTTTTATTTTCTGGTTTTTGTCTGTACATTTGACAGCTTTGCTGCCTTGTTTAAAAAGTTTTTTGTGTCTTGTGCAGGTTGCCCATGGAGTGAATGGTTTTCATGCCCGTATGAGGATCATCCAGGTGGCCAATGCCTATGCATGCATAAGCAATGTGATCTAAAATGCAGGCCACTCATGAAAGTGAAAAACTGTGTAACTAAAGGTGCGTTTCTAGTGTCCTTTTAAACCCAGACTGGCAATGATTTGCCAGAAACTCTACCAAGAAGGTAATATTGCCTGTCTGATCTTGTAGATAATTTAATATGAAAATAAGGTTTTAGCCACCCTTAATTGAAGCATATCATTAGACCAAAAACTAGGTTGTAATTTCTCTAAGGGCTGAACCACAATGACACATGACCATTTTAGTTAGTTTTAAACTGTTTGTTCAGTCCAAGTACATTGTTAGCTATTAGTGATTAAAAAAGATTCCTACCAATTATTTAATATTCTTTAAAGGAAATAAATTTCAGTTCAGTTTACTTTTAGAAAAACCTTTGTCGAGTAGCACATATTTGATGCATCAATGAAACATTTATCTTACTAACCTGTAGACCAATGAAATATTAATTTAACTATGTATTATCATGCTATACTATATTATAACACTGTGGGATCCATGAAACCAAGGGTTAAGAAAGTGGGATTTTTACTCTAAGCACTACCATGAATGACAAGTCTTTGCGCTAAGCTGTTTTGATATCTAGCTACTAGTAGCTTCATTTTAGTCATAACAGACATGAAACAAATCATCATTTTGATGCCTAGGTTTTTTTTATTTATCAGGTAACACATCCACAACCCACAAAACTGAGAAAAGTTTGACGACTCTACCGACCAGCACTGAGAAAAGTTTGACTGCTCCGCCGACCAGCAACTGTGACCGAGGTAGTAAATATTTTTTTATCTATGTTATTACTTGCAAAAAATGTTTTGCAAGTTTATTGCTCTCCTCATTTGTAAGTTTGTGCATTTGTATATTTGAGGTAAAATTCTTTCTGGCATTAGTGGCAAAAGTTTGAAAAGGTTTTTTTTTTTCAAAATATTTTTGCAGACCCAGAATGAACTGATTTGATGTGTAGTGTAACAGGGATTGACCCTGGGGGATGGTTGATTCTTAATACTTTGTACATTGTTATTTCTGTTATCATTATATGCTGGGGCACTTGGTATTTTCCATGCATCTTGTGGTTGTGCTGTCCCTGGTTAGGGGTTGTCATTTGTCACATTGACAACCATACTAAGAAATGCCTGCAAAACTGCATGAACAAAATTACTGGGTGAAACATTTCCCATCCCCATGGACAGCAGACACACTGACATAACTCCCAATGGCACAAAAATATACTGTCATCAAATGGACTTTCTGATCATCATTACTTGAACATTTGTACCCCTCTGTTTGTAAACAAACCACTGCACCACTCACAGTCAAGGGCCCCCTCTGCCAGAGGTCTGTGCCTGGTCCCGAAACAAACAAAAAAAGGGGCAGTACTTTACACCCTAGCCTGCTAGCGACACACATGAAATGCCAGGGAAAAAAAAGGAAAAGAGCACTCATTTTCTCTCACTGAACTACATTAGTCTACAGTGTTTCCCCTGGCTTTCAAGCTCTGCGAGGTGGTAGGCAGTCCGCGATCCCAGCAATACTAGGGGGTTCCGGGGGCATGCCCCCCCGGAAAATTTTTTAAATCGAGGTGCAATTTGGTGCATTTTAGGGTATTTAGAACTGATTTTTTTTACATTTTATGTGGCACTGAATTGTCTTGTTTTAGATGTTTTGAGGAGTAACAAAGGTTTGGACAAAATTTATTTTCCAGTCTGTGCATTCACTCAGTTTAGTCCTTTTCAGTTTATAGAACATACTCTTTCAAAAAAAAAAAAGTTAATACTTTCAAAAAAAAAAAAAAAAGTTAACTACTTTAATACTTACAAGAAACGAGAAAAAGGGCTTACTACATTGAATTATTTTTAAATTGACCAAAAAGTTGATAAAATATGTTGTTTTTACCATTTTCACATTCTTGTGAAAATAACTGGTCAATTGACTTTGCGTGTGGGAGCGCTTCATCCTAATATAAAACTGCCGCAAAA